AAAAAAAACACATAAAAAAAGAACTTCGAAAAACAGACTTCAGACTTCTGCTGAAATTAATTTATCAGTTCAAATAAGGCAGTAAAACATTTTCATGAATTCAAGTTTTTCATGGCCTCACTGGGGATTTAATAGTTCAGGTAGATGAATTCAGTCCTGCACCGTGGCCAGATTAAAATGAGATGAGGAGAATGAGGGCCCTCACACTTCCCTTTTCTTTATAACACAGTCCACTAGGAGACTAGTAAATCTGCTTGATCACAGTGATATCCTGAATGTTTTTGCTCCCCTTAATGAAGGCTAAACTTTTACAAGCTAACAACTGTTTAGTATTCTTTTTAGATTATGGAACTATTGATCGAGGAAAAATGATTGAGGGTTTTGTATTTAATGTGAGAAAATATTAAAATAATGCAGTCTCTTTCTTTTCCTGACACATTAGGGGAAAAAATTCCTGCAGAAAATCATATTGTTGAATATGCTTCAGATCTTATTCGTTGGAAAACTTTAATTTTGAGGTTTGAAACTTGGAGTAAAAGTGAATTTGGTAGTGAAAGTATCATTTTAAATTTTATTACTCCTGATATCTGCACATGCTGACTAGCAGAGGCATGCTTAAGAATGTTGCCAGTCTTCTCCACCCACATGCCCTCAGGAAACAGCCTGTTGTAAACAGCTGCTGCAGGCTTTGTTCATGGAATTCCAGGTAGGTTTTGTTTCTTACTCTGCCTGAAGATTTCTTCCTGGAAAAACGTACATGGTTGTCCAAAAGAAGTATGAAATGGTATATAAAATCATCAAACACGACAATTCTAAAACTTCTGGAGAGTTCCAACCTTTCATGTGTGTAGTATACTCAAAATTAGTATTTCTGTTGCGGAAATTGTTCATCAGAGAAAATCCAGGTGATGAAGACCATCTTGATCAGACCAAAGTTAAGAGATGGCCCCAGAGCACCCTTGGTTCCTGTGCTTGTGAAGGTTTATAGGCTTGCTTAGGCTTGCTTATCAATAGAGACCTGAGACGTCTTTTTGAATATGTATTATTCTTACCTTAAGCATATCTGTGATGCAGATAAACTTCACAAAGCCTAATTAGGGTTAAAGTGTGTGGAGAAATGTGTAGTCATCAAGAGAAAGATGAAGAACACTTAGTTTTTCTTCTCTTTTTGCCCAAAAGAATCTTCATCTGTCTTAGCTTTAGGAGGAGCCAGTATTCACTGGCTTTAAGGGCTTAAAATTAGTGTTTGTGAATTCCCTTCTTCCACCTAAAATCTTTGCTGGATTTGGGCCCTGGATATTTTCAGGAGCATGACAGTTCCATAGGCCCAATGGAAGGACTGGAAGATCCAGCATAGTGCCTAAATAGCTCAGTGAGACTTTTCACAATCCTCTGTCCTAAACTGTTACTGTAATAAAAGCATTGGCTTTTTGTAGAGTTTAGCATACTTAATTTTTTTTCCTCAGCCTTTCTGTTTTTGAGTCTTGCAGCACAGTTAGCCCAATATAAATGTTAATATAGTGGCAGTGTCTGCATTTTTCACCTCTGTCATTTTGAAGTTGTGCTATTTCCATCACACTTAGTCTTAGGTCAGAAAAAAGAACCCTGGAATTGTGGGTTGTCCAGTGGAAAAACAATGTGTGAATTTAATTTTGATTGTTACAATTATTTTTGTACTGAGTATTATAGCACTGACACTCCTAGATGTAGTGCTTTTGGTAGCATGAAGATCTTCGTGAAGCAGCAGAATTTCATAGAGTGTTATTTGCCAGAAACACAACAGGAGACTCAAGTGTTGGAGGGAGTGGGGCAATGGCATTTTTTTTATCTTTGTGTTATGAAATGCTCTGTGTGACTTGTCTTACACATTTACTGGGAATGAGAGTGGAGATATGAGGTTTGAGTTGGAGAGGACAGAGGTCATGATTTTCTTCAGTTACTTTCCTCCCAAAAAGAGCTTTCTACCATTTACATCCTTTTATTTAAAAACAAACAAACAAAAGTGATATCTAGGTGCTAGGTGCAAAAAAATCATAGGTCTAGTGAGGGGTACTCCATGCAATCACCTGGTTGAATCGTTGTTGACTTTAGCTGTGTGGTGACCTATAGTAGTAGGATCATCTTTCCATGAAAATATGGATTCTTATAAAAATTACCTGTAAACACATAAGATAAAAAAGAAAAAAATATTCATCATTCCTGTGACAGTTAAGTAAACTAAGTTAAGTCTGCCTGTTGCTTTAGGAAAGTTAGTTTATCACAAAGTGAAATAATTGTCATTTTGTTTCACCAGACTTATAAATTCTTGCATGTAGACTACTGGTATATGCATTAGAGTTTTAGACGCAGAGTAAAAACAAAACTAAACTATTCTAAACTCTTTCATGGTTCTAGAAACCAATTTCCACAAATTTTCTAATCTTATGTGCAGGGCACTGGCAGGAGTAGATATTGTTTGTGTTATTGTGTAGATTATTTTTAAATGACAGAAAAATCTGTTTCAGAGTTCTTATTTATACTTTTTTTTTTCTTGGAATACAACTACGTTCCTGTCTCTTAATTTTTCTGTTTAAGGAAGTGAGGTATTCTGTACTGACAAGTCATTAGTTGACAGCTCTACACAATTGTGTGACTCATTCATAAAATTTGCATGTTTCAACATCTGTGCTTTTCAGAGATGCTAGTCAAGCATTAATTTGTGTGTAGGTGAACTGATGAGAGGTTATTAAGACAAGTCATAGCTAATTCCAACAGCTTCATATTTGAATGTGAACTTAAATACAATATGTCCTTTCTACCAAGTTAATAACTTTTTTAATGTTCTTTTTAGATGAGAGAAGATAAAAGGTGTACACCATTATTTTCAATTTAGGACAAAATAGCAAGTTTCTGAGTTAAACAGTTATGCTGTAGTCAATTTGAAGGAAGACTTGCACAGGACCGATCCACGTTCTGTTGCAAACACTGTCCTGTCTCTTATTGTTGATGCTTTAGGAAATGGTGATTCAAGAGTCTTTGTAATGGCATAACATAGAAATATTGTTTTTAGCTCAGTTGGTTAAAACATGGTGCTAACACCACCAAGGTTGCAGGTTTGATTTCTACACGGGCCATTCACTTAAGATTTGGACTCAATGATCCTTGTGGGTCCTGTCCAGCTCAGAATATTCTGTGATTCTGTTTATTTGTTGTCACTTCTTGATTGTTTCTGAAAAAAAAAGATGTATATGCTCAAATATTATGCCATCTGATAACCTTCAGTGACAAATCTAATCGTTTGGGAGTTTTTTCAATCCCTCTGACTTATAATGTACAGTATTACATTATACCACTGATTTTCTTGAAGTGTGTGTAAGAAAGCTATCTCTACAGAAAAAGCTGAAGTGCACTGGAGTGAAAACTAAAAGGACTTGCCATGATGACAGCATGTAAAAGTGCTGAGTTACTTGGTAAAAAAAAAGTACTTTAAAACCATTCTGCATCGATATAAGAATACTATTGTGTAAGGTAACTGTTTTGGGGAAGTCCTTTACACTAAAAAGGCATGTTCCTTTTTTACTATGACAGTGCTCTAAACAACTCTGTTCACACCCTTCTAATGTTTGTTATGTTTCTTACACTGTGTTAATTCAAGTATTCTGTTCTTTCATTTCAGCAAAACTGCAATCTTGAAAATGTAAAGCCTGAAACAAAGCGATATCTAGAGAAATCAGTCCAAGTGGGAAAAAGAAATGGACTCCATCTTCCTAAAGAAGTACTGAATGTAAATATGGACCATTTGTTTATAAAGCAAAGGTTATAAACTGTTGAAGGGATAAAATTATGATTGGTTAGCTGTACTAAGTGTGTATTTGAACTTCATGCTTTTGGACCTGCTGAATTACTGCTCTGATCTTAACTGTTCTTAGTTCCAGATCCATCCTTTAAACTTCAGTCCCTTTAAGGTGTTTAAATGTTAAGGTTTTTCATCTGCTAGACACTCGTAGTACTCGGTGGATAGATGTGGTATGCATCACATTTTAGCCTTTGAGAGTAAAAGAAGCCTAGCTGGAAGAGTTTTGTTATATATTCTGATTACGAGAATGCCTAAATAAGATTCCTAGCAAAGAGACCTCTCAAAAAATGTTACAAGTTAGTCTGCACTTCGGTTCAGAAATATGTATAACTGTTGCAAAGACACAGCTATTTTAATTGCATTTATTGACCACTGTAGTAAAATGTATCCAGGATTTTAGCATTTTGCCTGAAAAAAAAAAATCGAAGTAGGTTAAAGGGAAGAAACAAGTGACTCTCAGAACTTTGGCTCCATTAAGAGAGGATTTACTCATGCATATGAAAGCAATTGTCACTTCCAAAAATCATGAAGTAAAATTGACAGCATGTGAGATGCTATGGCATCCTATCCTCAAGGAGAAGGGAGCACCCAAGACTTGTAGATGCTTGTGGTTGAAAGGAATGACAAAAATCAGAGAGTCCACAAAAGCTTACAAAGTTTTATTAGTAAATTACAGACTTGGCTTGGAAATTGGTATTAGTCCATGACCCCCTAGTATAAGCATATGGCAGTGGGTTTTGGATAAAAGGGTAGAGTGAAAGGGAAAAGACAGAGAGAGAGATGAATTAAAGAAGGGGAAAGAGAAAGGAGAAAGGCAGAATGAAATCACTAATCTGGGCTCCAGCATCAATTCAGCTGAAAAGGTGACCAGAGTCCTGGAGCTTGGTGGGCGTACTTTGTACAGATAAGTCTCCCGTGCCCTAGAGATAAATTTTGCACTTTCTGAATGAATTAGTCATCATGCATAGTCCATTCTTCTAGACCTTTTTGGAAATGGGTAAGGCATTGGAGGTCTGTGGTGGTCTTGATCCCCCTCCTGCTACAGTCCATGCCCACTTCTCCACCTCATTTCTGTGCCTCTGCTGTACTGTGTTGTGCTTATCTTCAGGAGATAGAACAAGGATGTTTGTTCCAGAACAGGCTGCCCTTATTCTATATGGCCCCTTCTCCAGCCACATCTTGTTCTTTTTAACAAAAGTCCTTGGCTGTTCTTACTAACAGTCCTTGGTTGGCTCCATGGCTATCTTGGTATCGGTATTTGAAGCATATCCATAGGCCCCTTATCTTCTAGCCTTCTACAGATGCCAACATAATTCTCTTTAAATTCTGAGTCATACATATGTAACAACCTTTATTTCTGACTGTTGAGTAGACTTTACCCTTTGTAGAAAATAATCGTTCTTCATCCACATCTTTCAGTTTGTGAGAACAGTTTTGTGTGTATTTTCATAGTTTAAGGGTAACTGATGCCTCTAAAGATATTTTGAAATTCCTTTGGAGACAATAGTTGAATTATATTTAGGTGAAAAAAATTGGCTGATGGGAGTCTTTGGCAAGGTGTTGGTTTGGTTTTTTTTGTGTATGCATTCTCCTACTGGTAACTACTGTGTTTATTTGAACTTGACTGTAAGGTATAGAAATTTGTTATGAGATATATTAGAAAATGTTTCAGATGGATGAATATCCAGATTTTAAAAATGGTTTTGGAGTGGTCTAATGCTGTGGGGGTATTCTGTTCTTTTTGTCATACCATATCTGTACAATTCCAAAGCAGAGCTTTTCAGTAGGTTGAATGCATTTTTACTCCCTTCATTCTCATTTATTTTAGTGGGTATTTTTACACTTAAAATTGTAATTTAGCTTTTCAAATAAAAGAAAATAATTGAATGTTAGAACATAAACTATTCAGTGAATGTGTTTAATCTGTCCAGTCCCCTCTGGGTTGAGTTTGGAATGTTGGAGTGATAGCCCTGACGCAGGGTTCCTTGGCAACAATATTGCTAAGGGTCAAAAGAAACATAAAAGGGAGGCTGATGGAGAGTGAAGTATGATGCTACCTGCAGTGTGTTATTTGCTCACTGCTGGTGTTTAGTGTCAGCTTGTAGAAAGCCCAGCTGGAAAAAGTGAAATACTATTCATGTGGAGGATAGAAATTACCAACTTTGATTTTTGTTTTTCCACTAAGTTCAGTTTATACTCAATGCAGGAAATAAAGACAATGAAGAAAAAATTGAATGAGCTGTGTATAGACTTTAACAAAAACCTGAATGAGGACAACACATTTCTTGTATTTCCTAGGGAAGAACTTGGTAAGTGGTATGCTTGCTTTCTTCAACTTCCAGTTTTACTTGAGTAGCTGGTTTTGGCCCCATGAGTGATGGTAAGATCAAGGGAAATTCTGACTGTTTTCCAGTCTTCTCTGTTTCCTTTTTAATCCTTCCCCAGAGTCAGTTTGGTGTTATCCTTTGCAGGTTTTCATAATGTCTGCATAGATTTTTGCTTCCTGAAGTGTTTGCCTTGCATCAAATTGGTCCTCCTTTTTTAGCATAACTTAACTCTGCTCCTTTTCTCAGTTCTCCACCACCAAGCAATTCCCTGTGTATTACATTCATTGTAAGTATTGGAAAAGCTTTTTTGCCCTGCAATATATTTTAACTAATTCAGTAATTTAAAAACTAAGCTAGAAATTGCATGTGATAGAAAATTTAGGGATTCATTATTTGAAAGGCATGGCATAAAATATGCTCTAATAACATTAGAGATTCTTTAATGTCATTCTGGTAGCCTTACATGTATATCTCTTTTGCTTGCAAGCATTTCCAAATTTTATTTTGCTTGGTGGAATTTGAAAAAGTTTTAGCTAATAATTGTGTCTCAGTTTAATGAGACAGAAATGTTTGCTTACGAGGGTGGGATAGGAGAAAAACCAAACTCCTCCCTCTGAGTAATTATAACTTCAAAATTAAGAGGCTTCAGTTGAAAAGGTGTGGAAAAGAAAATAGCAGCTCTTTACTAAATATATGTATGTAACATAAAAGAACAAGCAACAATTCCATAACCAAACTTCCACCGAAAACAATTGTGCCTTCCGCCTTTCGGCGCAGTTATAACCACGACCAGCAGGGGGCGCTGGCGCCTCGGGAGGCGGGGCTGCGGTGCCTCACGGCCAGCGGGGGGCGCTGTTGGACCCGGAGGAATGGGGGCTGCCGTTGCTCCGCCATGGCCGGCAGGCGGCGCTGTCGGGCTCTGGTGCCGCCGCCTCTGCAGGGCCCGAGGCGCGGGAGGGAACCGGGCCGGTCCCAGGCACGTCCCGGCGAGGCGGGCCACCACCGAAGGGGAAAGGGAGGAGGGGAAAGGGTGGTTTCTCCTGTAGACTCATGCTGTCAAAGGCTGGCTCTGGCTGGGATACCTTTCCTCGTCAATGGGTGCAAACGCCGCCAGCACGGGAAAGGAGGAGGGGAAAGGCCGCCTTTCCCCTCAGCGGTTCTTAGCAGGTGGTATCCGCGTTCCGATGAATCCGAGGCAAGTCCAGGGCAGAGCAGGACGTGAGGAACCGGAGGCGAACCGGGACCTCCCTCGGGGCCAGAAAAAGCCAGTGACCCGGCTGAAAAATGAACCTCCCCCTCCACACCACTCCCTGAGTCAGGGAAGAACTAAAGAGCCATCCCCAGAGAAAAAAAAACAACTGAGGCCTCCCTTCCCTCTCCAACAGTGGCTACCGCGGGAATGGAGTTTCCCTTACACAATTTAGCTCGTGTGCCGATGTTATTTAGCATTTCAATAGGGCAGTCGTTAAGGCCCGGGATAGCCTAACAACGAAGTCTTAGCTTAGTAGCAAGAGACTGTTGGTATGGGAAAATTCACTTGGCAAAAAGAAAAAAGTATAAAACTATAGCAAATTGCAAAAAGGTGTTTTTTTCTGTGGAGATTTCTACTTTCAAGATAGATTGCAGCAAAACAAATGCAACAGTCTTACAAAAACAGGGGAGTAGGTAGTTCTGGTAATTACTGTTTATTAAATTCTATTCCATAGATGGCCTTCCTGATGACTTTATTAATAGTTTAGAGAAGACTGAGGAAGACAAATATAAAGTAACCTTGAAATATCCCCACTATTTTCCTGTTATGAAGAAGTGCTGCATTTCAGAAACAAGGAGAAAAATGGAATCTGCCTTTAACTCGAGATGCAAAGAGGTATGTTGTATATTGGTTCTTCTACAGTGCAAGACAGAATTGAAAAATGGAGCTAGATATTCGAATGTTATATTTGAGTTCTGCTATTATTAAATCAAAACTTATCAGTGTGATCTCTGAAAGTTCCTTGCTTCAGTTTATTCTGATGTCCAGAGACCTTAGAAGTTGACAATCTGCCTCTGTGTGTGTACATATCTTAATCTTCAATTGGTGCTGTTAATAGAAATAGGATTTTGATCTTTTATCAAATTTCCTTGTAGTGTTCTGCACATGTTTACTGACACTTTGCTCACGGAAAAGGATGTCTGATTGTGGCTTCTATAGTATTTTGGGATTTTTCAGAATGAGAGGGGTTATTTAAGCACAGGTTTTAATTATATAATACAGGTGATTAAATGTGAAATTAACACATTGCATATTGATGAGAATTTTAATTAGATGTAAAAAGCCCTCCTGTTTTTTATAAAAGATGTATTTAATGATCTGAAAAATATTTGGAAACCTGCCTTATAAAAAGAAGAAATAATTTCAGTTAATTTATACTGATGAGACCACACGACTAGGTAGGTACAAAAATTGAAAAGAATAGAGAATATGTCATTCAGACAGTTGTACCAACCATTTATTAGAGAACAGTGACAGAGTTGAACTTTTGTGCTTGAAGTACTGGGAAATGTGATGAATACAAGATAAGATAAAATGGCACCAAGAACTGAACACTTTGCAAGTCAACATACATAAGGGTACTTGATGTTAAACTGTGGAAACAATCTTCGAATCTAGGGTTTGATCCCCCCCCCCGGAGAAATCCACTTTTCCAGAACTAGAGGTTTACACAGTTATATTTTCAGCTTCTCAAGGATCCTCCAGCACATTTAGGTCAGGGCTTAGGGGTTTGTGTTTCAGATCTTTCTCTGACTGCTATTGTCAGAGTGGCAAAAGAGGGAAATTTGCAAACAAGTTTTGAATGTTGGCACAATACATTTACAAGCTCTCTTCATCTCTAACAAGCAATTAAGCCTGATGTCAGCAGTTTCACTGTTACCTTTCACAGTTAAATGATTGATAAAGAAACTAAACTCTTCACAACTGTTAGTATCCTAAAAGGAAATGGTATCCATTTTGATTAATTAAAACAGATAAATTATAATAGGGAGCGTAATGACTGTGATCGACTAGAATACTAGCTATCTGCAATCAAATGCTGTGAAAAAAAATTCCAATAATCTAGGTGAATTTAGGGGGTTTTATATTTATATCTTAAAGTGTTTCATTTAAAATATCTACTCTTTCATAGGATTTCAGATATTATTCAGATGTTTTGATAACATGTGTTTTCTGGTTTCACTTTACAAATTTCCCTACTTTCTTTTTTAGGAGAACACAAAAATTCTTCAGCAATTGCTTCCACTACGGGCAAAAGTAGCAGAGCTTCTTGGTTATAATACACATGCCAACTTTGTCCTGGAGGTAAACACTGCAAAGAGCACAGATAATGTAACAACCTTCTTAGGTTTGTTCTCATTTATAAGCAATACTTTTATATTTGATGTGGCAACATGATTACTCAGCCAAGATTATTTTAAATACATAACTGGGTCACAGTATCCATCATGTGTAGCTAGAAAAGGAACTCTCTGCTGCCTCCATTCTGGCACATGTATTTTTTAGACTGTAGCTGTACAAATGCAGTTACTCCAAATCAGGGAAGCACAAGGCGAAAATCTGAAAATCGCTGCTTTGTGACAGCCGATATAAACAAGTGGTTGTGTCTTTCTCTGCCCCAAAATGCAGTTATCCTAATTTAGAACCAAAGTAATATGTGCAGCCTAGCCAATTTTATCAGTTCAAGAGGCTGCATCAGAGTTGCAGCTTTTCTTTCCTATTTTTTGCACAATTTTTTGTGCATCCGTAGCCTTAGTGTCTTTTTCTGATTCAACTGCGTTAAGTATAATGAAAGATTACAGTATGGGATGATGCAACTTCCATGATCTGAATTAAAAAATTAAATCTGGAATGGTGGATTAAATCTGGAATTCAAAAGCCTTGTAATGGAATTTGATCTGATAACAGAGGTATCTTGAAAATTTTGAACTGAGCGGTTTATGAATTTATAGTCATGCTTTTGACGTTAGTGGGCCCACTCTTTTGCATGGGATTAATCTCTACTTTCTGGAATTACATAGTTCCACAGAGTAGCATGTGTTCCTTTATTAACGTGTCCTAACACCACTTGGGAGTGTATATTAATGTATCATACAAATAATTTAGTACAATAATTTAGTACAAAAATAAGGTATGTTTGTTGGTAGTGGGTTTTTTGTGTTTATGCATCAATAAAGAGGTTCAAATGCTCTTCTTCCTTCACCTGTAATTCTGTTGCATTTCTTCTGAAATGCTCCTTCAAATCAGATGCATATTTGGCCATACCAATTATCCATATATTTGACAACTCACAGGTAATTTTGCATTATTAAATGTTTGAATTACCTGGTGTTTTTTAAGTGTGCGTAAAGTATTTTGGACTCTTTTTATATCCACTATATTATTGTAATACTGTGTTTTTTCATTTGTTTTGAAGCTGACACTCAAAATCTAGCAGTTGCTTTACAAAGTAAAAACATATCATATACTTTTCATGAATATCATGCTTCGTGGTAATTCTCACAGAGGGAGAATGTTTATCAAATTAATTGTCACCTTTAATTTAGTTCTTTTGATATATTCTCAGCTACAAGCATGACAGTATATTTTGCTCTACTTTGTTCCTATCTGTTCATGTTTTAAATCAATGTTCATAAGCTGACCTTACAGCTAAGAAGAGCATTCTCTCCTATGACACATTCTGAATTTAGCACAATACAAGCTTCAGTCATGAAATACAAGTATTTCAGTCATGTAAATGTAACGTAATTGTATATAGTGCCTTACAGACTACCTAGAAAGAGGAGTGGCAATTCCTCGATTTTACACTCTAGATATTAACAGTGAACATTCATCTGAATTCTTAAGAAAGAAGGAAGTGTCTGATAGTCCAGAAATACTTATAAGAGAATAAGTACAGTAGGTACTTTATGGAAGTTTCAGTAAGGTTAAATATTTTATATTCAATGTGTCTGTTTCATAGTGCTGTGGTGCTTTCTTGTCCAAGAAAAGTATATTGGAAAGTATTTGTACCATAGAGATTAATACCCAGTGACTTTGCTAGTCTGGAAGCAAGAACTCTTGAGTCTCTTGTTCTTTTATCAGGCTTTAGCTAGAAGTATTGAATTTTGTGATGCCCTTGCAGGTACTAATGGTAGTTGTAGTCTTTTGCTGCTGCTGCAGAAATATATTAAGAAAATTGAGATTACATGAGATAAAGGATTCAAGCAAAAGTGTCTAGTGTTACTTTCCATTTTGATATCTTTGAAAAAATCTAAATTCAACCCCCTTCACAGCTCTCCTAGGTCTACCCTAGTACTGTAGTACTACTGGAGTACTGTATCACAGCATGCCTGCAGTCAAGGCTCACTAGGACAAGAAAATGGACAATTGGTCAATGAATGGAAAACTCTAGCTTCCACTTCTGGAGCATGTGCTTAAAGTTTTGAGTGTATTTTATAGGAATACACATTATAGTAACGTAGAGGTTGACTCCAAGGCAATCTTTTTTTCAGATGATTTGAGTAAGAAGCTCAAGCCACTGGTTGAAGAAGAAAGAGAATTCATTTTAGATTTGAAGAAAAAGGAGTGTCAAGAAAGAAACTTTGATTATGATGGAAGAATCAATGCATGGGATCTTCATTATTATATGAACAAAACTGAAGAGCTGAAGTACTCTATAGATCAAGAAAAACTGAAGGAATACTTCCCAATTGAGGCTGTTACAGAAGGCTTACTGAATATTTACCAGGAGCTGCTGGGACTTGTATTTGAGCAAGTAGAAAGTGCTCATGTTTGGCATGACAGTGTTACTCTTTATGCAGTAAAGGATAAATCAACAGGAGAAATGTTAGGGCAGTTCTATTTGGATCTTTACCCCAGGTAATTATGATTTAGTGTTTTACTTATGTGTTTAAAATGGATTTTGTCTTAGTTCTTGCTTCTATTCAGTTTATGAAGCATTGCTACTTTGTAAATTTTTCTTTTGTAGTACTGCTATTAAGTCAGTTATCCATAATATCCATAATCTATGAATTTTCTCCTTTCTACCTTAATACTGTTTTAATTTTAATTTTTATTGAACAATTATATTTCTGTCTGCTGAGTGTTCCTAGTTTCTCTTAGTTCCTTTTTACACTTTATATGTGTATTTTGTACTCTATTGGTCTATATGTGTACTTTTAACTTGTTGGCCAGACTGGTGGAGAAAATATCAAATAGATCAGTAGCAAGAATAGATTCCTGTTGAGCAGACATTGAGTTTTACATACTGGTATCTACCTCTCCAGCTCTCTTTGTAGCTATCTACAGCATCATCTCTGTTTTGTCAGAGATTGTGAGACTAGACTGATTTGACAGAATTTATTCTGAACTACTCCTTTTTGACTGTCACTGGGTTTTTGTTTGCTTTGGTGTAGGTTTTCTTAAATTAGTATTTAGCAATTTATAAATTGACTGATATTCTTTTTTTAATATAAGTTGATTTAAGGCTTTTCTGGCCTAAGAAAATTAGGTTAGTCAGTACAATAGTACATAAATTATTCTTTTCAGGATAATGTACCTATTTCCTTCACCTGTTTACCTGCTTCCATCTTTATGTGTGTCATGTGAATTGTTGAAGCTATGTGTCAGTAAGACTTCTCTGACTTAACCTGAGTATTAACTGGGTAGTTTAGGGCAAAATTTTCAAAATAAGTTTTCTCTAAACTCTTGGATCACCGTAAAAAATGCAATGTACTGTATTCTTTTGTCTCCTGTCATAAAATAAAAAATACTGCTTCAGAGAATACAGCCTAGTCCTTGCTGTTACAGTAGCAGTTTAAAACAGAATGGACATCTAAAGTATGTATACTTCCAGTATTATAGTAAAAATTAGATTCATGTAAATGCTGCTGAGAATCTTAAATTGTTGTGATCTAAGTACAAGATTACAGAGGGCGCTTTTCCACTTGTGCTCTTAAGAGACTCACTCTGAGTCTCTAGAAGTCATGAAAAGATGTAATTTTTCTGCATAAAGCTGTGTGTAAAGACACTGACTGATTGTCCCTGTTCTTGAACAGGCTTCGCCATTCTGGTGAGCAGGTTTGAAGATAGTGTCTGGTTTATTTTCTTATACAGAGAGGGAAAGTATGGGCATGCAGCATGCTTTGGTCTACAGCCCGGCTGTCTCCTTTCTGATGGCAGCAGATTGATGTCTGTTGCTGCTCTGGTAACCAACTTCACAAAACCAGCATTGGATCGTCCATCATTACTGCGACATGATGAAGTAAAGACTTACTTCCATGAATTTGGTCACGTAATGCATCAGATATGTGCACAGGTTAGTGATGTTTTGGTTATTTTTTACAGTGTCAGGTTGGGTTTTTGTTTTAATTTTTATTTAAAACTGAAGCAATAAATACACCTCCTTATGAAAAACATTTTCATACAGACATATGCTTTTGCATTTGCATCATGCAGGCATCTATTCAGTCGTCACAGGTAGATGTATGAGGTGAGGAAGGTGCTCTGTCATGGTTTCTGTCACAGGGCTTTTTATTGCATCAAGTTGCACTTCTGGATATTAAAAGTAAAAAAGGGTCCTGTACCTATGAATAAAAATAATTTCTAAATCCAGATGACCTGCAGCATTTTGGCATTTAGTACTCTTGAGTGCTGTCACTCTTGATATCAAAAGCATAAATGCCTGACCCATTGTATTTTCTGCTCTGCTATCTGATAGGATAGGTTTCTCACAGTGACCAGACAGAACTGAAGTTAGTTTCAGATTTTGCATCAAGATGCCAATAAAGTTGTACTATTTCTGGTTTCATTTTTACTTATATCTAAAGTTAATTCTGCCAGATGATAAATTTATTATTAGTCTAATGAAAATTTTATATTACAGAGAGAGATGTCAGTATTCACTCACCAAAAAAATCCACATAATTGTCTACAAATCCAGACTTTGTGTAGCACTTCATTCATCTTCTGTATAAACAAGTACCAAATAATAAAATCAAAGAAGTATGACCCACATTACATTCTTGACCATTATCCTATAGATTGAGACTGCAGAATAAAGAAATAGTCACACAAATCCATATATTAAATCCGGAGTTAATAAGAAACTAGACTTGCTTAGATACTTTTGAATCATGTTGAAAGGAAAAATATATCATCTTCACCCTGTGTTAGGTGTTTCTCATACCACAAATTGAGTAATAAAACCTAGACTATATAGAAGGTGTTTATAAATGAAACACATTCAGCATTGGTATGAAACTGTACAAAACTGACTGCAGCATAACCAATGAGAATGTGCCTGATTGTTGTGGAGTCCAGCTGGGGCAGCTCAAGCCAAAATTCTACTCCATATGCGTTTTAGTTGCTATGGAATTGCACACATGTCAGGGAGGCCTCCTTTCCAGTTGTCTCTCACACTGCTCTGGTGGTTTTTGTGTGCATAGCTACCATGCTTAGTGCTGCTGTATTGTATGTGAATTGTTATTTGCATGTGTGCAGACTTGCTAATCCCACATAAGAACATCCTGTCTTTGGAGTTTGTGTGTACAAAACACTGTCTTGTTTCATGTGATTATTTGTTTAAGCATGTTAAGACTTGACATTTAAATGCTACGTATGGGAGGGAATCTGTGAGCTGCTGGTAAAGATCTGATAGTCTGTGTAATACACTGGAAAAAGAGAGAGATACTGCTGGAAAGTGAGATCAGGGCAAGGAGGGGATTTGTTTATGCTGTTAGGAGAGCTCTTGAAGTGACTTGACCCAAATGTCTAGTGGCTTTTGTTAGTGTGATGCATGGATAATGTGTATGGTTAAATGAGGATATCTGTTTTGTTAGTATGTTGATGAGAAGGGAAAAAAAAACCATAAAATTGGTCTGGCAAGAGGAAGTAGACCTATTACAAGACAAGGGTGGAGTGATGGTGGGAAGTCTCTACAGATCTGCACAATGGTATGGGACTCAACAAGGTCAAATGCTGGGTCCTGCACTTGGATCACAACAACCCCAGGCAGCACTCCAGGCTGTGGGAGCAGCAGCTGGAAAGCTCCTCAGGGGAAAAGGACCTGGGAGTGCTGTTTGACAGTGGCTGTTTGACATTTGTGTTGCTGTCATAACCTAAAAGATAAAAATCAGTAATGTTAAGAAAATGGAAGTACTGCTCCATACCAGTTGATAATGCAGTAAATAACCACTGAGAAATCTAGTTTGTTCCTTGGTAATAGTCTTATGTCTTGATTTTTTCTTTTTCCTCCTTTATTTAAATTTAATTTTTAAACTATTATTATTGGTCTATTCAAATTATTCCTTTTGCTGCGATTAAAACTGAAATTTTGACATATGAAAATTTGTATTCTGCTAGAAATCATGGCTTCTATTTTCATTTAATTCAATGGCTTTTTCTTTTAGACTGATTTTGCTAGGTTTAGTGGAACTAATGTGGAAACAGATTTTGTAGAGGTACCTTCACAAATGTTTGAAAACTGGGTGTGGCAGAAAGAGCCACTACAGCAAATGTCAAGACATTATAAAGATGAAACCCATGTTGGAGACACTCTCCTTGAGAAACTTGCTGCCTCTAGACTGGCTAATTCAGGTATCTCTCTGCCTTTTCTCCCCACAGTATATGTACAAAAATACATTAAAAAAATACATTTAAAAAACTGATGAACGCAGAAAGCCCATGCAGTTTCTTCTGTGTGTACACTTATCATTGTCTTTCTAGGTTTATTTCTTTGGGTACCCCCATTAATAAAGGGTATGATGATAGTACCACTGTTTGCCCGGACAGTAGCAGCTCTGATTTTCCAGGCCACCCCCAGTACTAAAATACTTTTCATGTGACTTTTTTACCTACCAGCATTGTTCCTTTAAAACTGGGGAAGGGGGGGAGGTTTGGTGGTGTGTGTGATGGGGGAAGAGGGGAGGTCTGTTGTGGGGTTTTTGGTTTTTATTTTATTTGTAGTCCAGAGCAGGCACTGTGCATACAGTGAATACACTGTCAGATTTTCTGTATGTATTGTCTACATTTGATTTGCACATGACACTTGACAGACATGGAAGTTGTTTTCAGATTTAATGAACGTAGATAACATATCCCAGACAGAAGTGTTGTAGCCCTGCATTGTTCAAACAGCCTCTTAACTTCTAAATCCAGAACCTTAAGTCCATATTCTCTACTTTCCCAGGAGATATACTGCCTTCCCAAACTAAGGTTCTAATTTTCTTCTCCTGCCCCATCTTGTACTACCTTACATGTGTCTCCAAACTGAGATTGTAATCTCATGTCATTGCCTATCATATCATTGTTATTCTATCACTCCCACCCCTTTGTTCCTCTAATCAGGGCTTCTCATTTATAGTACAATTTGTCATTAGACACTGCTGTTTATTTCATACTGCTTTCCTATCCTGAACAAGAAGTCTTTGTTCCTGTGGCTTGTACAGACTCTGTAGCTGCAAAGCATTTTGTCTGGGTAAAGGTTCATATTTTGTAGCTTCTTAAAAAAAGCTTACAGCAGCTGCTGCAGCAGTTCTTGGTGTTCTTTGAAGTGTCTTAGGGTAGATATACTAACTACCAGCTGTTCAAGCTCTGAGTGAAATGGTATATGGGAAGCAACAGCAGCTGAAAACATTAAATATTAAGATTTGCTTTAAAAATATCTGCTTTGTTTTATTTTTGATCTGTGAGGAAAATAACATTTGAAAAGATGGAACTTATAGTGACAATTCCTTTATTAAAACTCTGCCTCTGTAACTGGAGCAATTCAGATGGGAACGATGCAACTCCAAGTTTGTTCCATGGTTAAAATTCTAATCATTTAATGTGCATGTTGAGATCTTTGAAGGAAAGATGCAAATGAAACTCCAGCTACTTTGATGCTGGTTAATTAAATGTTCTTACCCACTTAGGCCTTTTAACCCTCCGTCAGATTGTTTTGAGCAAAGTTGACCAGGCACTGCATACAAAGCTATCTGTTGACCCAGCGGATGAATATGCTAAATACTGTATGGAGATTCTAGGAATTCCTGCCACTCCAGGTATGTCAGTATGAAACTTTTATACAGCATGTCCAAGTGGTTCAATTTAACATGCCATTCCTTCCCAGTAATGCTTGGCATACAAACCCCCTAGAGTTGTTTATGAAATAGTCTACTTTATGAAGCCAAAATAGTTATTTTGAAACTTAGGATTATCTTAATGATCTTTTCTGAAGGAAAAGTAAGGTAAATATAAAAATTAACCTTTTTCAGGATATATTTTAATGTGACATGATGTGAAATCCACTTTAGATGTTCTGTCACATCTGTGTTGGAGGTACAAGTAGCGTAAAATGGGAAACTGACTTTCCTTTGTAGTGAGCAAGTTTGTCCAATACTTTGAGGCATACTCAGACCCTTTATGTTAAAAGTTTCAAAATAATTGATATAAATTCCTTATTAATTTATTCTTGAGAAGTACTGTATTTTATTAAAATAACTTAATATTAATCTACTTTTCAAGGAACAAACATGCCAGCTACTTTTGGACATCTGGCAGGTGGTTATGATGGTCAGTACTATGGATACCTGTGGAGTGAAGTGTTTTCCATGGATATCTTTTATAGCTGCTTTAAGCAAGAGGGAATAATGAATCCAAAGGTAGGTGATGAATACTTTTTAACAAACACTTCTGTTGCACTTTGTCTCTGAAACAACATTTATTGCCATCTCGATCCATAGGTATAACATCTCAAGTACTTCTGTACCTGTCAAACTCAGATCAACAACAAAAAGGTGTATCAGTAACTTTAGAAAATAATCTTGACATTTTCAAGAGCACTTAGATTTTAATACAATTCTTACATCATTATGCATTTAATATTATAAGACTTAAGACATTGTTTTGCCTTGTCTAATGCCTTCCTCTGTAATTTTAGACTGAAAAAACATTTCTCTGTTGCAGGAACAGATGCATATTCATCTGCTGTGAAACCTGTACGATAGTAGTGTTCTGTTTCCATTTCCAGTACATTTTGTGTACCTCAACTGTGTGGTCCTTTTATGTAATCACTGCATAGAAAATTGAATTCATTCAGAGCTTTCTCTGTCACAGCACAGCATAATGCACAAATTGTTTTATCTTTAATTTTACTCTCAAGTCCATTTTGAAGTCCTAATCATTAAGAGGTTCTAGATTTACTGGGCCTTTTTTTTTCTTGTGTAACTCTCCAATCTGTTCTGCCTTAAGCAGAAAGAAAGGATAGTTAGAGATGTGACTAGTAGTACTGCTAATTCTGGCAAAGTTTGGTCTTGATCCTCTTGTGTTCTTGATTCAGCTGCCAGCTCTAGTTCTTCCTTTCAGTAGAGGTACACAAGAGAGAAATAAAGGAAAGAGTAGAAAAATGTATGATTGTCCTTTTCCTCTCCTGGAATTTGCCTTCTTTCCTCTCCTTCCTTATCACAGCAGCCAGAACTTCTAGAACTGTCCATCGCTCTAGAGGATGATGACAGTAAACAAGATTAGATTTTGATCTGAACAAAGGGGGGAGTCCAAAGAGCAGATGGGGTGAGGCCAGTAAAACCGAAAGGGGTTTTATGGAGAAAAGCAGCCAACTTAACAGTTTTAGAGAAGTGACAAAGAGTTTGGAGGTCAAGACTGATACTACAGGGATTCATGACAGGTACATGTGAGAATAAGCAGACCTGTTTGTTCATTGGCAGTCTTGTCACTTGCAAATAAGAGCAGCAGAGAAAATGTATCAAGCTAAATGAGAGCATAAAATAACTTTTTATAAAATGTTGTTCATGTGGATCCTAAAAATAGCATTTCAGGAGAGGTCAGACTTGCTGGGTTTTATAACTGTTAGCATTTGGGAGAGATGGTTTAAGGGTACTGGTGCCCAAGTTTACTGGTACTGGTGGGACTTCGTGTCAGTTTTCTGTTCTGACACAGACGGTGCCCCTCCAGTGTCATCACAGACCTTTTGTTCTGCTTTACTTTGCAGTCTCAACACTTTGAGTGATTGTATAGTCAAAACCCTAAGCCATAGGTCACCAGAATTGCTCTGTTACCTTTACTTCTCCTGGGGGATGCCTTTTATTCTGCTTTTTGTGAGAATTTTTGTTTTCTTTGCCTGTGTATGGGAGGCTTTGAGAATAAATTAAGTATGATAAGAATTAATATTTGCTGTGGTACAGCTGAAAGACAACAAGTACCTCTTTTAATGGGAAGCCTGCTATCCAGGCTAAGTTAGGAAGAAAACTGATTATTCAGTTGTGTGTGTGTCACTCGCTTTCTACTGTATATGTGCACACAATTTGCCTTGATTGCTGATATAACTTGAGGTGTAACAGTGGAGATTTTTTCCCTCACTTTTCAATGCTATCTTCTCATATTAGTTCTTTTTCAACCCAAAGAAGCATTCTATCTAAGTGCAATAGTGTTCCACAAGATGCGACAAACTGTTATAAACAAATACTAGACAACTGTTCGATTTTTGTAGTACTCACACTTCATTATATCTAGAGTTAGACTAGTCTTCAGAATAGCAGGAAAAGAAGGTTGTTATGGTGTTATGACTAGGGCTTTTAGAAATTTGGCTTACCTCTTCCTGTTAGAATAAAACCTCTCTTCCTGTTTTGAACAACAGTTATACAATCTAGTCTCAGAGACTGGATCTGTAAAAATTCTTCAGCAAACACTTAACTAACTTAATTGGTTACCACACTCCTCAGTTCTTCCATATTATCTGAAATAACCTCTGGTCTCCCTAGAACTAAGCAGTGTTCTGGCTCTGAAGGGACAACAGCAAAGACTCAAGTCTACTCAAATAATACTTTCAATTGACAAGGAATAAAATCTTTGTTTGCTGATGATGTTCAGGAAACTAATCCAAATAATGAAGTATAAGCAGTGCTTCAGTGAATTTTTTTTTTTCAGTAAATTTTTTAGGTTTTTGCAGCAGTAATTCAGACAATTCTAAATGGCTAATGTAATGCAGACTGCAAATGGTAGTTCAATTAAGTCTTGGAATTCCATCACTTAAAAAGACCTGTGCTTGTTTTTACAGTACAGTTATCAGGAAGCAATGTGGTCCTGTAATCCCATGGCTTTGAGTTGTGGGGGAAGTGTATGCATGTACATATACTGACTGAAAGGAAAAAAGTGTCTTCTTCAGTATCAGAGGCATCTGGGACATCTGCATGCAAAAAACATTTCCTTATCTATAGTCATGTCTCAGAAGCCCAAAATTCTCCAGATATAATATGTTCTTTAAAATACAACCTCTTATTAAGAAACTCCTCATTACTTCCTGTTGTCTCAGAAACTTCATTCATTTTTTTATAGGAATCCATTCCTTCTGAAGCAATAATGTTTATTGCTGAAAGTAAAACCTGAGTTAAGTCCCATTACATGTTGGGATGTATTATATATACTACTGTGCATATAATGTGTGTATATGTGCATGTCATTCTACAATGCTACAGCTGTCTATCTCTGGAGTATCATCTCTGTTCTCCAAACAGAGATTAAAGAAAGAGAAATCATCGGTTAAGAGAGAAAAGATGTTATGGCTTTTTTCCTACCAGTCAGTCACAGGGATAATTCATCAGTGAAGATTTTGAGGAGATTGTATGTTTGTTATGCTATATGTCTTTCAGACAAGTTATGACTGTAGCTTCAAAACCAGTGTAAAACCACAAGAAAAATAATTTCTTCAAGAATTGGTTGAATTTCTGCTCTCTTGAGTTCTTCCAGCAGATCTAAATTATACTTGTGCTGTATCCTGATTTGTTATTAAGGAAATCTGGAAGGAGGAAAGTTGTTTTATCATGAGTGGATTTTTAAATATGCAAAAAATACAGAAAAAAAGGCAGTTGGCAAGATAAGAAGTATTAACATTCTGCTTTACCTTCAGGCTGGGATGAAATACAGAAACCTTATTTTGAAACCTGGAGGATCTTTGGATGGAATGGATATGCTGCAAAATTTCTTGGGGCGTAAACCAAGCCAAAGAGCTTTCTTATTGAGTAAGGGATTATGTGTTCAGTAAAATGATGATTCTTTTGTAATGGCATATAAGTATGGAATGAGCTGGAAATGTCAGTGTATTTCACATCTTGACTATGTATCACTCTAGGCAAACTGGGTCAGTTTTTGATGATTTTTTAAATTTGTAAAAATAAAAATATGATTTTTAAAAAAAATTTCATAGGACTACAAAATTCAACACATCAGGGAAAAAATTGAGATGTGTGAAGCTAAGGAATTTGGATGGTAATTCTTTTTAATTGTTATGAAATAATACTAATCAATATGGGGATTTGATGCCATGGTTCTCTTTTAATAGATGTACTTAAATTGTGTCTTGTGAGTGAATTTTAAATCTGGAGGGGATAAAAAGGACACTACCAGCAATAAAAGAAACAAATTCATTCTTATTCTGTATTTTCTGTTGTATTGACTGCTCACTTTGTCTCTGATGGAGAGGAAGCCTGTTGGTTTTTGTTATTGTTTGGGTTCAGTCTCGCTTCCTGACAAATTTCAAGACTGAGAACCCGCCCCAAAGAGCTTTACGCCAGAGATGTGTGATACTTTTAGACTTCATTCTGATGCATGTTAAATTCTTATATCATTTACATACTTACATAGTATAATTAAAAAAAAGAAAAAAAAACAGCCAAAGTCTATGACCTTAGCAGTTCTTCCATCACTTTTTTGTTTTTGTTAATGATCACAAGTCTGGTCTTTGGTTTCCAAATTATATCAACACTGGCACTGTAATGTTGTACTTGAGCAATTATACTGCTTTCGGATGGTTTGTGAAGTATTTTGAGATACAAATAAAGAAGGAATGAAAGAAGATCTCCCTGGTGGGAATGATAAAAGTAAATTGAAAATTTTCCTATTCCTTCGCAGTGTGGCATGCAGAGGTGCTTCAAAATGTGCAGTAGATTTAATGATTTCAGCTGTGGGACTGTGAAAGTAACTGAGGAATTATTTTGTAGTTTTTCTGCAAGATCAGGAAAAATGAGTTTTACCAGGCAACTCTCAGCACCCAAATAAAGCTGTAAATCCCAAGTGCACTTTTCTTGTCTTTAGATATCTTGTCTTACTTTGGTTTTAGTATTACAGCATGTATATGAACAAACTTTAATTGTGTTTACTATCCAATACATATCAGACATTTGAACCATAGCTGTCAACATGGTTGGTGTTTTTACTTTTTTGTTCAACAGTGAAATAAGAAAATGTGCCTGGTCAACTCAAAAGACTTCCTCTTTTTCTAGCAAAAGAAAACTGAAAGCACTGACTTTGGGTCAAATCTGTCAATTTGTTTTAGGGGGAAAAAGCCTGACAGTTGTGAATGTTCAGATGAAACTTTGTTTCTTGATTTTCTTTTAAAGCATTTAAACTGGGGAGGAAAAAATGAGATTAATTAATTTCTGAAATGCAAAATGTGACAGGCCTTATTTTTTAACCACAGCAATTAGATGTGAGAAATCATAAATATTTGTAGCCAAAACAGATTAACTCTGCAGTCTTAACAGCCCGTATAATTAACTAATTTCTAGTTGTCATAGTCACTTATAGTTTTAGGCCGCAGTTCTTCTGTGTCATGAAAATGCAATACATGAAAATCACATGTGTGAGAACACCTCAAAAGGTATTCAGCACAGCTATAAAGGAAAGCTGAGGAAACTGATGGATGCAAGATTATACCAAAACCTGTGAATTTTGTCTAGACTAATTTCCCTTGTGTTCTCACTGGATTTGCAAGTATTGTGCTTGTCTTTTTATACATGTTTAAAATTCTTATGATTCTGTCTTATCAACATATTTTTTTCCTTTCACACCCTAATGATAGCTCCAAAGAACTAAAACAAAAATATAGTAAGTGATACTTCCCCTAAATGAATCTGCAAATTTAAGCAATGGAACCTCTATTAAGAAGCAAAATTCAGTTTTTATTTTACAGTTGGTAGACAGATTTCCACATGAGGGAGACCTTTCTCTGTATAAATCAGCAGTCTTGAATCAAGGTGGATAATTGCAAATGTAGTAATTATAAACAAAAATATGAGATGACTATCTTTCAGCAGAAAAATAGTCTGAAGACAACCTGGATGCATCCTAGATCCAAGCATTGGCATAATCGTCGATTATGTCTTGGTACGACGGAGAGATGTCCGCGATGTCCTCCGTACCCACATGATGCCCAGCGCAGAATGCCAAACAGACCATCAGCTGGTGCGCTGTAAACTTAACCTCTGTCTTAAGTTCAAACCCAAAAGGGGCAGTATCCCAAGGAGGAGACTCCAAGTTAACAATCTCCAATCAGCCACAGCGAGAGACAGATTCCAGGCAAATCTTCAAACTAGGCTCGAAAACCATTCCATAGATTCTATACATGCCTCTCCTGAAACACTTTGGCACCATTCATAGCCATGAATGAATGAATGAGATGATAAAAAGTCATGTGGTGATTTAAAAGTTAGATTTAGAACAGTACTGATGCAAATGATGACAATTAACTTCTTTATTTTCCTGCTCTTTAGTATGTGTGTGAGTTTGCTGTACAATGTAGAGTAACTAAGATACTGAAGTGCAGAAGAATGTCTGCTATTTACATGCATATGAAAATGCTGACATGGCTGTATGGTTAAAATAGCATCAGATGAATATCCATGTGTTTAGGGAGGAGAAAAAACTAATGTTGTAACTACAAATGAAAGTGTTATGTTCTACACCTGTTCCAAAAGAATAGGATTTTTTATTATTTGTTTTTGTAGAAGCCAGTTCCTTCAGCCTGCATCAGACAATAAGTAAGTTAGATCATCCTATAGCTAAAACTGCACTCAACACAGAAGACTAATGGGTACATTCAAAAGTGCTTATGAAACATCTTAATGTAGTAAAATATCAAACTTGTCTGCTAAGTTTTATATTGACTTCGTGGAGCCTTCTGAATTAAATCAGGGTTGGACTAAATTACTTTTTTCCTTCCAACAAAAGTTGTTCTTTGAAATTCATGTTCACATTTTTTAGTGTAAATACCAGATCTTGGCATGGAAAAAATAACCTGGAGAAAGAAATCTTTTCTGTTTTTGCAGCTATCCATCATAGGCATGAAACTTTTATCTGTATAGGAAACAACTTATTCAGACACTATTCTAAGGCAGTGAGATAGAGTCCCTCAAGAAATGTGAGTTAATTGACTTGTCACTGCCAGAAACAATCACATACATGAAACAGTGCCAGTAAGCCCCGGCTATTCTAGAGTTGCTAAACCCAGGCTTCCACTGAATTAAACTTCAAAACTGTGAAAGCTTGATATATTCACTGTAATAAATGAAGAAATAATTAGTAATTTTTGTCTGTAACAAAATGATACCTTTCCAAGTTTATTATTGTGTCTTTTTAGAATTTCATTGTGTTTAGGATTATTATTTTCTTGTGTTAGAAATTCAGTTTGGACTTTGACTTCACAGCAAAAGCTTCAAAGTGGGAAAGAGTAAAATGGGAGACTCGGGAGACAGTGCCTATTATCACTGAGTAAGTGGGTAGTAGGCAATGATTTCTCTTTCTGTTGCTTCACTGTAAAGGACAGAATAGTTTGAGCATGTGGCTGGGTCACAAAGTGATAGCCTCAGCAGCCCCTGCTGCTAGTTGTCTGACATAGGTCCAGCATGTAGGCTTTTTCTGGGTTGCTTGCAAGTCATGTGGTCAAACCTAAATGGTAGAAACAGTCTGAAGGTTTAAACTTTAATTTCTGAGGTGTGGTGGCTATTGGTTGTTATGCTGACTTAATAATTGAGAGCACTAAGACGTGGGAAGTTAATATTTGTAAAGGAAAGTAGAGCATTGTAGTTCTCTGTTGTATTTTATTAATAGCACAGCATTGCAGAAAAAACCCTCTTCCTCATTATAATCAGTAATCCAGATTAGTCAACTGCTGACTTTGATAAACAACTTCATTAAACCATGTTATAACAAATGATCAGACAGCAACTAGTTGTAATGACTATAGTCATTTAGTATGGGAGAAGAAAAATTATGGTAGTGCAACAAGTGAATTACAAGGTCAAGATCTCAGCTTCTCTCTGAAAAAAATGAAACAATTTCCAAGTAGCTTTGGAGGGTAGTTGAGTGAAATGCAGATTCTTGGAGGGGTTTCCTGAAAGCGCAGAGCTGTTGGCATGGTAAGTGATTACTGATAGGGATTAGAGAGGCTAGACATCAGCAGGTTATGTGATACAAATCAAAGGTAAAGGGAGGAAAGCAGTTAGGTGGAAGGATGAAGCTGGAGAAGGGTGTTTTGACAATAGTTGTAGAGGGGTTGAAGTGGATATAAGAGGTAGATAGCAGGGAAAAGACTAACAATGCATACTGATTATGAAAGGCTACTTCAATGCTTTTCATGGTTTTATGAATTAGAAAAAAAAGATGTGCTTTTCTGTAAATAGATTTCTATTCTTATTTGCAGGCGAAAGAACATGAGACTATGCACCTGGTTGTTACTTGACTTCTTCCTGACATCTGAAGATTAATTTTTTATTTCACCACTATTTTCTTCATTAGTATATTTAAATAATAGTTTCTCATAGTGGAAGGAAAAAAGTTATGGGGGAAGTTCATTTTGTGAGGCCTGCGCTGGAAATCCTGTAAAGCTAATCATCATTGGCCTTTATAGAAGTGCAGATGATACAAAAGATGTGGTTCCAAACAGCAGTCAATCTATTTTAGACCTAATTAGGATAAAGACAAATTAAGTAAATGAATTGGAAGTTAGTGGTTGCCTAGAAACCAAGAACCATGACCTAATTTTGTTCAGTATTGATTAGCAGAGGATAGACTTCACCAATACTTGCTTGTGCTATATTCCTGATGAATTATAAAGGTTAAAAATATCATTGTTAGGAGAATCAATGAGTAAAATCACTGGAATGAAATGTGAATGAGACATGGTGTGTCTTTGAAATTCAATTGTCCCAAATCCCACAATTTCACAACTTAAAAATCTTTGTGAACAATTCTTACTAAGAACCAATCTGTTCACCAGTAAAAACAGCAATTAAAATTAAACAAAACAGAAGTGGGAAGTCAGGAGTAGGAAATAGTTATAAAATGAGGAATTGTAAAGTGATAAAAATTATAAAGAAGGCTAAGACTGGCAATGAAAAGAAACATGGATGAAAGTGTTATAGCAAATAATATGTATAATTCAGTGTATTAAGAACAAATAAATCCGATTTGTGTTACAGACCTGTCAGTGGATGAATATGCTAATATTGCAAATGATAACGAAAAGAATTTTTGTTTTCTCTTCTGCATTTACAAAGAAGGAATGTGATGTCATCATAGCATGTGAGAACCATGGAGTACTTTCCAGTCCATTAAAAGAGGAGTATATTGAGCAATACCTACTAAGAAAAAACATTTTGGCCTGAGTAGGGCTGAATAACTTGTACTTTACAAACAAACAAAAATTAGTGTTGAGGGATTTTTTCCCAGTGCTGGTTATCTTGGGCTAACTGGGCATATGCCATTATACTAGAACAGTACTAATGAGTTCTAGTGTTCAAAAACCGAATAGGTGACTATTGGTAATTCAGCTGGAAAGCCAAGTTAAGCAAAACGGTGGGAAAGCATAAATATGGTTCTGTTGCTGAAAAATTAAACAATGAGTATAATTCATAGAATGTGAGCAATTTTAGGAAAAAAGAGTTTTGTCAGACAAGCCTGATGTAATTGTTTGTGGCCATTACAAGCCTGATGAAGGTGATTGTAAAAAGATTGACGTAAGGAGTATTTGACTTAGTGTGCACATTTTCATTTAAAATGACACTACGTGATATCAATAGAGGATATATAAAATGGATTAAGAACAGCTAACTGTTTAGAGTACCTAATGGCATAGAATTACCATTGAACAGTGATCTAAGTGCTTCAGGCATTACACAGGACTGTAATATAAAAGCATTGGTGATAGAACTTGTAAACAACTAACCAAAAAAGGCAGTCACAGAGAATTCCTTGATTTGTTAGAAAGCTTTGGGTATTCAGACGAAAAAATTCTGTACCATTGGCAAAGGAATGAGTAACATCCCTTTAGCAACTAAAATTGTAGGTTAAAACTACAGCTTGGAGGACTGTATTCTGTAAAATACTGACCTCCAAAAGTATCTAGAGGCTAGTTACAGCAGTCTGTTCAATCTGAATTGCTAGGAGACTATAGCAAAGAAGGATTAGGCAATCTCACGATGGATGAGTGCAAAAATATTGCTTAAGAACAAGTTACTGATGCTACTTCTGTATACCATATCAGCAATTGTATGCAATTTTGGTGTCGGGATTTTTTAGATAGTAGGGCTTATTATTCCAAATGAACACAGGTGATTCTCTATGTAGAATAAAGTTAAGTTGTGGAACTCCTTGCTGAGAACATTATAGAAGTGATACGTCTGTATGAGTTCAAAATAAGAGAAGCCAGTGGAGAGTATTTAAATACATAAAACCTTATTCATCCTCGGGAAGACCCTACAAAGTAGGGGGTGGAAATCCGAAGAATATTGAAGAAAATATCATATATTGCAGCCCTATTCATGTTTCTGTTAGGCATCTGCTTTTAACCACTGCTAGAGATAGGATATTGTAACAAATCAACCTGCTGTTTGATCCACTATGAAGAAAGAACAGAGACTTGCAGTCTCTAGGTATTGCCATTACATAGTAAAGGCTCCTTAATCCTTAGTAGGAGAATGTCAGCCAGAATTTGAGGCCAGTCATTTCAAAGACAAAATAACAGCATTTTTAACAGTGAGGAAGACAAGCAACTTTCTAAGCAGTTTGTCCCAATAGTTGGGGTTGTCAGTTCTCAATATCTTCAAATCAAGACAAGTGAAATCTCTTTCAGAAGATACATGTTCACCAAACACAATGATTTCATTCACAGTAACTGGGTGAAATGGAATCAAATTGGTTTCCTGGGCCTCTTTCCTTTTAAAACTACAGTTCTGTAAATCAAATCTTAGGAAAAAAAGTTTGTTGCGTGTTTATTCAGGGGAGAGGTGTAACACTGCGAAATGTAATTCACTGCCAAGGACTTCTTGCCTTCTAAACCACTAACGGAAAGCAAAAGCAACTGGAAAATGTACTTTTAAATTAAGCAAACATTTTAACCTGTCATAGTTGTCTTTAACTGCACAATTGTGGGATTTACAAACTTTTATAAGAAAACCGAGCAGACAGATGTTTTTCCACGTGACAGGAGATAAATTCATCCTTTGATTTCTTGTTGAAGAAGGCATTGTTTTTCTCTGTAGAAAGTAGAAACTGAGTAATAACCCCAAATTATTGTTACAAATGGGATTTTTGACTAGGCAGTTATTTTTTCTTCATTGGGTTGTCTCCTTTGGATTTCCAGATTTCAGTTAGGTTTTAACAGATGACTTCTTTTTTCAGAGCTGTTATTTTCTGATTGGTCTCACTGTAAGGCACAAAACTTATTGTCCCCCTCTCTTTCTCCCACACCTCTCCATTGAAGCGTTGCTGTCCTCTGGAATTTAGTCAACAAATTAGCTGAGATGTATACTTTAAACTTGGGAAAAGCACTTGGTAAAGAACTGAGCAATTTGTATTTGTCCTTTTATTTGCTAAAAACTAGTCATGGCTCAACATCCAAGATAAGTTACTACCAAAATCTGGCAAAAGATCAGAAATCTAGTCAGATTTTTACAGCCAAATAATGTATAAGATATTATTAATATTGTTAGTAATAGAAGGGTTTTACAAGAACTAAATGATTCCATAAACATGAAAGAGTTTTAGCCTAAAACATTAATGAGAAATGTCTAAAAGCACACTTGGGGATGGTGCAGGGTGCCCTGGTGCAGGGCTAAGAGTTGGACTCTATGATCCTTGTGGGTCCCTTCCAACTCAGCATATTCTGAGATATATTGCACATTGTGTTTTGAAATTATGCACCAAGAGAAACACATTTTATTCACTTTGGTAAGTGTTTTTAAATGTGGTTTTGTATTTCAAGCCTTGTCAAGAAGTGAAAGAATTTTATCCTATTGAAAATTCAGAGTTAAGACCCATAGAGATGACAGGGTTTGAATCAGCTATCTGTAAAATATTAGTTAATATAGTGCAATTAAACTTAATAGCATTTTTCTCTTAGAATGAAATGTTATTTTTATACAAATAAGCTGACATTCTCTACAGAAAAGGAAAACCATCAGAAGTTGAAAGCTGTTACAGATATGTTGTCTGTATACATATTCACATTATGAATGCGTTTCTGCACAAGTGTGTTTATGCCTTATCTGTTTCTACAGGAACAGGGTCATTCTCTTTCCTGTCAAGCATGGTAAACCCTGCATAAGGCCAGCCACAGGCCCCTCCACCATTTCTGCTGGAAGATAGTGAGCAAGGGAGGGATTGAACAAGCATGAATCTGCAGAAAGTTATAAACCACATCTGAAGATCTTCCGATTTACTGGCAAATCAACTTCTTTTTTACTTCATGTTGTTTTCTGTATGCACTTTACTCTGCTAGAGACTTTCAGCAGTCCCCCTTAACCTGAAGAAGTAACGTCTGGTCTGAAGAACTTAAGAACTTCTGGCTCTTAAGAATTTAACCACAATAATCCATGGTAAAAGTATGGATTAAGTCTAAGGTGGCTGGCCTTCCTCTCTTTCGTTCCCTAGGAATGACATTAGGTTTGGTTGACTTCTTAGGAAATTGCATAAATCACAAATTGGTTTCATTTTAGCCATCAGCTATCCAGTGCAGTTAGCTCTTATTAGAGCTGTACCTAGGAACCTCTCTGCCATGAACACAAAAAGGGAAGAGGTCTTCCTAAATGATCTGTTCAGTCTGAATGGAAAGATAACATGATAAATGAGTTGGAATGCAGTGGATCAGATTTTTTAGGAGAAAATTTAAGGGGAGGGGTGTGATATTCTCACCTAGGTAAAACATAAATTTAGTATACAAGGGTAAGCTTGGTGTGGTGAAGAAATGACATGTTAAAAAGGGGGTTTTCTCCCAAAGATGTGTGAAAATAGAATTCCAGACCCTTTATGAGAGATACATTCTGTGAAGGAAAAAAACCAACAACCAAAACCCACCCTCAGTTGTTACAGAAAACTAATGGTGAACACTGAGAAAACACAAGAGAATTGCAAGACTTATCTAGGATCACGGGAAAATGAGTCTGCATTACAGGGAAAGATTTATCTGCACACCAGAGAAAAATCCAGTCAGTTTAGTCATATAACTATGTCTCATAGACTATATCCTGGACAGAAGGAGATATACTACAAAACCATTCATAGGTTTCATGGCAAAAAAGTCAGTCTCAAGTGGAAAGTCCTACCTGGGTTCTTCAAAAGCATGTCTAAAGCCTGGGCATTGTAAATTCTTAAATTACAATAGTTGCCCAGGCTGGAATGGCAAGAGTTACGTTGGCAAATCACATATTATCTTCATGGGCAAATACCCATTGTGAACTACAAGGGCATTCTCAGGGTGTGCATAGATCTGGTTCAAAACGCAAAAGCTCAGCTTTAATTGAAATTGGCCAGAGAGGTCAAAAACCACAAGCAAGGGTTTTTCAGGTACATAAACAACAAGCAGAAACAGAAGGAAAATATTGGCCTGCTATTGAGCAGGAGAGGTGAATTAGTCACCAACAGTGCTGAAAAGGCAGAGGTTCTCAACACTTTCTACACCTCTGTCTTCACCAGCACTGGTATTAGGAACAAAAATCCAGGCTGATGCAAACAGAGGTGCTGTCAGTGAAGGTAGAGCTGTTAGGAGCTTGTAGAAGCTTGACCCTACAATTTGATGAGCCCTGACAGTATCCCCCCAAGGGTGTCAAGAGAGCTGGCTGATGTCATTGTGAGGCCAGTCTCCATAATCTTTTAGAAGCTGAGGAGATAAGAGGATGTTCCAGAAGGCTGGAAGAAAGCTATTGTCACCCCTATCTACAAGAAGGACTTAAAGGAGGGTCCAGGAAAATATGGATCCATCGATCTTCCTGCTGTCCCTGGGAAAGTTACAGAACTAATCTTCCTGGAGGCTATCAAATGTCAGATGAAGCGCATGACTGGGAAAAGGCAGCGTGGTTTCACCAAGGGCAAATTGTGCTTGACAAACCTGGTCACCTTCTACAACACAGCAACCTGCTCAATTGATGTGGGGTAAGCAGTGGACATTGTTTACCTGGATTTTTCCGAGGCTTTCAATAACGCTCTTGGTACTGCTTTCTACAGCCTCCTCTGGAGAAACTGTTGCATTACAGTCTAGACAAGTGGTCTGTCGGGTGAGTCTGTCTGGCTGACCCAAGGCACCCAAAATGGTGTGGGAAATCACTCCTGTTCAAACCAGCAACAAGTGAGGTCCTCCAGGGATTGATACTGGGCTCAGCACAATTTAATACCTTCATAAATGGTCTGGAAGATGGGATCAAGTGTACCCTGATGAAGTTTTCCAATAATAACAAACTACATGAGGAAGTGGATGCTTGGGAAGGGAATGCTACCCTGCAGGAACACCTGGATAAGATGGAAGAGTGGGCTAATGAGAACAGTGTGAAGTTCAACAAAGACAAGTGTAAGATCTTGCATCCAGGAAAGCATAATCCAGGAATGCAGCACAGGGTGGGATCTACCCGGCTTGGGAGCAGCTCTGTGGGAAGGGAGCTGGGGATCCTGGTGGATAGGCAGCTCAGTCTGAGTGGCCAGTGTGCTCCTGCAGCAAAGAAAGGCAACAGGATGGGTGGCTTCAACAAGGGCTTCGCTAGCAGAGGTGAAGAATTATCCCACTTTGCCCAGTGCTTGTCAGAAATCATTATTCCACCCTACTTGCTGGTTGTCAGGCCTCAGCTGGAACACTGTTCAGTTTTGGTCCCTGGTGCACAAAACAGATGTTCACAGGCTGGAGAGGGTGCAGAGGAGGCCCACAAAGACAATCAAAGGCCTGGGAAGCCTGGCATGTGAAGAAAGGCTCAGGGAACTGGGGTTGTTCGGCCTTGAGGAGCTTGAAGGCACAGGGGAGACCTTATCCCTCTGTTCCAGTATTTAAAGAGTGGCTACAAAAAAGATGGAGATTCTCTTTTTAGGAGGAGCCACATGGAGAAGAAGAGGGGTAATGGGTACAAGTTACTGCTGAGGAGATTCCAGTTGGATGCAAGAAGAAAAATTTTAACAGAACAATAGGCCATTGGAATATCTCCCCAGGGAAGTGATGGATTCTGCAACTTTGGACACTGTTAAGATCCATGTGGAGAGGGTGCTGGGCCATCTTGTGTAGACCATGCTTTTGCATGGACCAGATAATATTTGATGTCCTCTTACAGCCTGGTATTCTGTGATTCTTAAGTGTCTTGAAATTAGAAGATAACTGACAAGGATCCAAGATACAGACTGTTTCTGCAGCAGAAGGGTACCATTTCTTCTTGGTGTCCAAAGGTGATGGAGTCCCTTGGTTTTGAAAAGGTGACAGAGTGAGTAGCTTTGTGTTTTCAATTCTTTTAGCTCTGGACATTCCACACCCAAAGCAGAGACTGCAAATTACTATCTCTAAACAAAAAGAGGAAAAGAGAAAATCAAGTCCCTTTAAGCGCGCTCTGGGCTGGAGAAACCTCAGAGACTAGAAATTCTACTTGCCTGATACACGTATGTGATTAATTTGGGCTCAGTTCTCTAACTCAGCACGCTGTTTGGGAACCTGCAAAGGTGTGATTTCTTAGGCCACTGTAGTATAATTTGCTAAATAAATCCCCAATGTGTCTATTAAAGTAGCATTTGTTTAGTTATCAACAAAGTTCCCAAAACATTAAAAATTATTATTGAAACATTTTTTTTATTGTTGCTGGCCCACATCTGTAACAAAAATGATGCTTCTCTGGATTACTTTCCCATGATAACAAAGATGTTTCAGTTGCTGATATAATTTTCCTTTATTTAATTTTGTACAACATTAATTAAAATGGAAAGTTTCATCAAAGGTCACTGCTGACTTCATTAATAAGAAAGCAGTTTTGGTTTGTGCAGAAGCACTATGATAAGATAGAATTTAACACAGAAGATAAATTTAGGCAGCAGCAGAATTGGAAATTTCAGAAGTAAAATTTTAGATGTAAAAGAATAAATGAATCATTTCTAGTGTTGAGTGTCTCACTAAGGATTTTATTGCGGAGCTTAGCATCTAACTGATATGATATTTCCTAATTTTGAGGCATTTCTTATTTTATATTGCCTTTTTCTCTTCTGCTATGTGCTAAATATCCTCAGAGGAGAAATTTTGTCAAAGGGAGGCTGTTCAGTTTGTTTAATAAAACAAATAAGTATTTTATTTGTGAAATATTGCTGTATGTCATAAAAATCAACAAGATGTCTTAGAAAACAAGAGACTTAATTTTCTCCTATAGACTTAATGAAAAAGAATTTCCTTAGTTTAAAAGGAAGGACAAGAGAATATAATTTTCTTCTTGATATTTAATTAGATTTGGCTGTTGCACAATTTTATTGATAATTGGATAATATTGTGAGTTCAGGCTGGTGAATTCTGAAATGGTTGTAAGAGTGTTTGAAAACTTTTTGTATGTGACTTGCAAATTGATACTTCAATGTAAGCAACAGTGCACCTTGGCATAATATATGATTCTTTTGATATGTCTTTAGTAGGTAATAATATTTCTGTGCTCACTTTTAATCAGATTGTCATTAGAGAACCTGAACCATCTTACATTGCAAATACAGGTTGAGCATGAAGGTTACAAGTTCCCTTCATGTCTTTTCGTAAATCCTGGCAATGTCTTGTGCTCTGGTAGCAGTTTTGCCTCTGTGAACCCTCTTTACCTGTGTTGTGGCTACTTCCGCCTTGAAATATTTTATGTTTGTGAGTACATTTTTTTTTATTCTGCCTGACAGTAAAGGAAGGAATGAATATAAATAACCACTTGATTTTTCCCCAAGGACAAAGTACAACTCCTCTATGTGTAACCTATATTAACAGTATTTCATAGCTGCAATTTTACATGTTAAAATACAGAGTCCAAAGCTAGTTATTTAAGTGATGTATTAAGTTATTTAGTTATTTAAGTTGATTTTCAGAGAATGAGGATCTAGTGAGCTCAGTGAGAGCTGAGAACCAATATTCAAGTGCTGTAGATGGTTTAATTTTGGGGGAAAAAGGAATAATTTTCAGCCAGAAAAGTAGAAGATGCTTGTTATGACTGCGGGAGATTTGAATATGAATAGGGAGAGATCAGTAAAGTGATGATAAAATTTCCCTTCACCAAAAGAACTTTATAGCTCTGACTTTTCACCAGAAAACACAAACATGAATGCATCATTTATTATAAACACAAAAATATAAAATTAAGGTATTTCTTGTCTATTATACAAAGAGACATATAAAGTACTAGAGTAATAATCATATGGCGAAAGCAACAATATTCCAGGTTATTTTTGCTGACTAGTGCATTTGCAGTGACTAAAATGCACAAAAGGAATTGCTATGGAAAGAATTACTTATTTTGCATGCTTTCTCAACATACCCACCAACATGTTTTCATGTCCACCCTTACTTTGAGAGCACTTGAGCAAATGCTCTGATGATTAAAGATAAAAATTGAAATAAATTCTAAGCCTTGTAATTTGTTACTTTTGGCTCTGAATTTTCTTATAACAAGGTAATGATCTTAGGTGGCCCTTTGTGCTGAACATTTCAGTCAGTAATGCCATTAGTTTCACAGATCTTATGTGCTGGTGCTGTTGTGGTTGTCAGTGAGGGACTAGATTGTCAGTCTGGGAGGAAAAAGAAAAGAAGTCCCTGACGTGGAGAGAAATACATTTCACAAGGACACAATGACTAACACTAGGAAACAAAGGGCAAAAGTACATTTTGGTTTTAATTATATAGTCCACTGAGATCATAAAGGAAATAATGAGATACTTTCTAGATAATCTTTTCTACAGCACAGATTTAAGTGCAGAACTTACAATAGCTCACAAGGTACAGTTTGTTTTTTAGATTTAAGATCTAGAAAAATTGTTCAGTCAGTTCCCTTGTGGATTGTTCCTTCTGCACTAATAACAGGGAGCTCTGTCTGGCTTCCTTATCTGCTGCCAGAAAATTCACCACTGAGGGCACAGAAGGGACAAGCTGCACTTCCACATTTCTGCTGGTTTATCTTGCTGTAGCCTGAGTGGGTTAGCAGCTGTTACTGTAGTCTGCCCAACTTCAGCTCGGTGGTTGTGGCCTGAAGGGAGCTCTTGCATGGGATAAAATGACTCGTTTGCAGTTGAGCCCAGTCTAACCTGTGGGAGGTTCAAGCATTTCAAGGGATTTTGGAGATTTTTAGCTATTTAACTGCAGCAGGTTTTTACTGAACTGCATATTCTTAGAGGTATATAACCAGGCCAAATTCAGGCGTATCTTCATGACAAAAGCAGAAAGGACATTTCAATACAATTTTTGTTCTCTGCCATGTTTCAAATCTTACTTTAAAGCGTCACTATCAGATGTTTTTAATTGTTGAAATAATATGTATAATACTTTGATTTCAGAGACAGCCAAAATGATTCAGGGAACATTTTCCTCACTGAAATCAGCCTGGGGAGCATATTCAGCATGAAGAACTTCAGCTCAAACTGTTACAGTTCAGCAAATTTAAAAGAAATTGAAAATAGGTCATTATAATAGGACTTGTTGGGCAGCCTAACTTGCAGTCAGGTCTGCAAGCCCAAACTATAGTTTACTACATGTAGAAAGTAACTTCTCAGTTTAGGTGAGAGTTCATAAAAGTAGGTGAGAAGGAGGTTTTTGGAATGGTTTATCAGAGTTGGTACTGGTTGAAATGTTTTAATATTTTTAATTGGAGCTTTGGATTTCAATATAATCTTTTTTTCTCAACATTTATTTCATGAGATTTTTTTGTATCATTTAGATTTTGGTCAGTGGTAGAACTTGAAAAATTCCTGACATATTAGCTAAGAACTATTCACTGAAATATTAATGGAGAAAATTATTTTTTTTTTTTCATTGAGATGCTTACAGACATATTGCTTTCCATAAAAACCAGATTTTTGTAATAGAATGGCCAGGTTTAGAGTTTTACTCTAACATGAATAAGATGTGTTTTCAGGTAGCTGTTGGATGGAAATGAATCCTCAGCAGGGATTCTCTGATAACAGGTCTGCTAAAAGCCAGTGGAGCTTTGTTAAGTCAGCTGTCTGCTCAGCATGAATTTACAGAATAAATGAACTGTGAGGTTCACCAAATATTTAAATGTCTGCTAAGGTAACTTTAAGAAGAGAAAATATCTCTGTGTAAGGGATAGATTTATTTCAGCCATCCTATTAATATTAATAATTAATATGTGTTGTACTTCCTCTGCGTTCTCATTTAGACCTGAAATCTCACAGTGTGGCAAGAGCTGTAAAGCTAAAGCCTGAAGGACAGTATCAAGACAGTTATTTCAAACTGTAGTATGTTCAAAAACAGTGGTATGGCATCAAAGCCAGAGTTGTGAATTACTGGTGAGAAGAATTACTGACAAGGCTGCTGCTGCAAGTGAAATGGGCTGGATATCTATGCGGCTGCTCCTCTGTGTCTAACACTTGGAGACGTGGATAAAAGGATGACACACAAATGTAGATGTCACAGACTAAGAAAGGATCAAAGGGCAGGAAAGCAACTTGCCAAATGACAACAGTGTGTATGTGCTGTGTATGTATGGAAGATGTGTTGAAACTAAAAGTGGGACAACACTTGCGTGGGTAGTAATTGTAGGACCAAAACAGAAGGTGATTATAATCTTCAGCTTCAGAGTTAATTCTTCCATGATAGTCAAATCTGATATGATACTTTAACTTTTGCAAGTGGGAACATGAAAAGATATAATTCATATCAAGATTATGAATTAGAGTAAATGAGATATTGGTAAGACAACTGTCTGTTTATAAACAGGATATAAATAACAGATTGAGGTTAAAAATATTTATTGCTATGGGAGGATGGAGGAAGGGAATACAACTTTATCCAAATACTTGTTTCGTTTCCAGATATATAGTAAGATCTTTAATCTTATTTATGCTGGTGTAATGTAATACATCAAAAAACCTTCTCCAATTGTTCCAGGGGCACTGAATCGTAACAGCTCTGGGTTTTCCAGTGTGATTAAAGGAAGGTAGAAATAGTTCTGTTCTTGCTGCCAAAAATCTTGCTGAGATTTATTGATGGAATTTGTGGTGCCAAGAATGCCATGCCAAGTGCTCTGCTGCAGGAAGGCAAGTAGCCTCACTAAGTTATTTCATAAAATGGTTTGCCAGGTTGGTCACAGCAAATAAAAAATACATGAATTCTGAAATCTGTGTTTTCTTATTGTTAGGACTCCTCTTTTGCATATTTGTCTGATAGACACATATTTTGAATTTTCTTTTGCAGTTCTTCCTATTTCACAGGATAGATAGTTATACTACTAATTAAACCAAAGTAAGGTCTTCATATCCTTCACTCAGTTCATGTCATCTTGAATTTTCAAATACGCTCTCTGATTTAGTTGTCTGGTTTTAAATTATAAGGAGAAATATAGTTTAATGATATCTTTTTAAAAATCAGATTTAGGTTAGCCTGTCACTTGGGACTGTGTTTTAGTACCACCAGTATAGTTGCTATATAGATTATTTATTTCAGACAGGGAGCCTAAAATTATGAATAGTTACACTTCTGTATTTCCTTGCATTAGTTATTTCAAAAGTATCACTGAAACTATGATTCTACCATGCTTCAAAAGTATGGGGATGTTAATAAGCAGCAATTACAAAAGATTACTATTAGCTGCTCACAGTATAAATATTTCTTTATGATGCTGACATGTGAGTGCCTGTAAAAGACGAGTGCTCCACTCTGCATTTCAGAATGCACACAAAAAGATTTCCCACTTCTTTCTCACTGAAGAGACGACTCGCTTTTTCAGTGTGAGCAATAGTAGTAGCCTACCAGTCTGTCATGCCATGTGCATGTATTTGTGCTTTGATTTGAGAAATTGCTCTTGCAGTTTTTCCTGTTGGTTTGGCTGAACTGAACAATGCTCTGTTGGGAGCAACTTATGATAGCGGGTGCCAGAGGCATGATCCTGATCCCATTTTAGTCAGTAAGAATTTTACTACAGAAACTGAGGCTGGATAAGGCCTTTTGTGTGAATAAGTTCAGCCCAGTAAGTAGTTTCTTATCCTATATTTAAGAAAGCAGCTCATAAAGATGCTGCTATCAGCAGATATTTATAAATACAGGATTTAATAATATGGAAGCCAGACATGCAAATTTGAATTTTTTTGCAAATCTGCATAAGAACATTCTAGACTGTGAGCTCAGACTTCTTATGCCTCAGACATCTCTATTGCGAGCCTAACTTCACAAGAAGGTAGATTGTCCTGAACAGAATGCAATGCAAAGGCACTTCCCAGTGTGCTAAATGGCAGTTTGGGCAGTCCCACTGCGCTGTGCCATGTAGACTGTCCTGACACAGGCATGGATCCCATAGGGAAAAGAAGAAAAGAGGTGGTCATGTAATTGAAGACTATATCATAAAGCAAAGTAACCAGTGGGTGTAATTATGGTTGAACGTAATTATGCATCTCCTAACCTCATATACTTTAATTATAGCACCTCCTAACTCTTTGTGTGCTTGCCTTGGAACTCAGTCTGGTGTAGCTGTGCTGGCCTACAAAACACACCATGGTTGTGTGAGCTGTGTCCATCTTACAGCTGAAGACAGTTACTTGGTTAATGCAAGCATCAGCGGGTTGTCTCTAAGCATTTAACTTTTTAAAGCTAGTTAGTAAAGAAATTTGGCAGTAGACTGTGAAGAAAGTAAAGCTCTTACTGAGGGCTTTGGCTGTCTTGTTTTTCTGGGGAATGAAAGCTATTCAGGAGGGCTCTGTATACCAGCTGGGGAGCCCAGGAATCTTGGAAGCTTCTTGGAGTGTCTGGAGCAGACAACATCATTTTGGAAATTGTCCAAACTGTGTGTTGGAGCAAAACACAGTGCCCAGCAGCCACAGTACCTCCTGACAGTCAGGTGGCATGACAGGTTCACTCCAGCAGTCTCTACATGGGTGATCTTCACCACTCTTGCCCCTACATATCTGTCCTTGCAGGAAAAACTCTTAGTCTTCTCTGAAACAAGCCATGATAAAATGTGTGTCTTTCATGTGCACAAATGTCTCAAGGGTGCTGTCTTGTAAGGAAGCTGTCCAGCCAAGGGGAAAGCAGAGAAGTGTTCTACCCACAGCAATGTTTTGCCCTTAATGGAAGAATTTGACCTAACCCTCACACTCATTTGAAAGCATTTAACAGCGGTAGGCAGGGAGACAGACTACGACAAATGCATCTGGATGATATAATCTTCTGTCTCAGTCATATTTTGTTGAATAACAGTATCTTTGGATCTCAGTGTCTTTACAAAAAAAAACTGCACTGAATAAATAGGAGAAAATTACTTGATATCTTAAAGGGTCCTGAAAATCCAGATGCATGAGAAATAGCTGTACAACAATACATAGCTTAATGCAACTTCCCCCTTCGCCCCCCCCCATAATTATCTAACAAGGTGAAAGATCACTGTGCTACCTCAGATCACTGTTGATGGGGACGGGAGGTACAAAGATGCTTTATTTGCTCTGCTGTGCAATGACTGGACTGTGTGATAATGCTTAAGTAATAAGACACTCCAAAGAGAACAGGTTGGGGGCTATAGATGCACCACAAGCAGGACTGGCACAAAAGACATCCCCAGGGATACAGCTTCATTTCAGATGGTTCTGTCTGGAGCTTGGCTCTGCTGCCCAGCCCTGTCCAAAGGCAGCCTAAGAGAATATTATGAGATGAATAGAGGTAATTGATATCTTTTTTTTTAATTACAGTATGTGTTTAGAGATTGTAAAGATCCACTAGTAAGCCAAGAAATCTTCTACAAAATTTTACTTACTATCTTGCCCTAACTTTCTTCAGAGCATTCACCAGTTTCTTATGAAAGCGCATCTTTTTCTGCCAGATAATCACAGCCAAAACCTTTCAGGCAGTATCCAGCCAAATGTTAATGTTGTTAGAAACAGTAATAATTATGCAAGCAGTCACTTCACTGGTCACTGAAGGTGAGTTCTGTATTGAACCTGAATACAAGCAGGCTATTGTGGTTTTAGTGAAGAAGCGTGAAATTGTACAAAATTCCAAAATTCCCTTCTGACCTCTATAGTTAAAAAGGAGATGATGGTGGAAAAACAGAGACCTTTGAAGGCTTTTGCCATGTTGTAGAAACGGGTGCAGATCACAGTGTACTAACTGATGCACTCGCTGCCTGGATGAAAGGTTTGTGCATAGGGGGTGGGTAATGCCACTCTGAGGAGCATTTCTTTGTCTGACATACCTCATTCAGACGGTGCCAGTGTAATAAGAAACACTGCTACTTAGATTTCCCCATGAGGTTTCTTCCTCTCTATGATCTCAAACTTTGTTGCTATAATGACTTCTTTCCCCTCCTTCTCTTCTGCAAACTTCATTGAGCCATCATTGGGAGCTTCTCTTCACGTAAGTGCCCTTTCTCTTGACTCTGAATTAATTAAGGGTGAAACTGGAACAATGATTCATAGCAAAGGAGCCGAATTCCTTTTTAGTAATAGGCAAAGAAGGCCACAGGAACCCACTGCTTCCCTGCTGCCACAATGCCTTCCCTTTGTGTGTCATTCCCACATTGATCATGTTAACTAATGCCTCTTTAGACACTAATTGCTGTATTGATGAGTCTGAATCGGATGGGTTTACTATCTGGGGGCTTTTGGGGAGCCAATCTCCAGAAAGGTGAAAGTGCTAATTATATTCGCAATTACTTTAAAGCTCTTATCCTCCTTTTGCCAGCATCTATTCCCATGGTAACAGGAGCAGGTACAGCAGCATGCAGCCTAGCAGCGCTCAGAGCTCTTGGCTACGTCAGCAGTGGCTGTGGTTGGAAAGATACTATACAAACTGTGCATACAGATTTTCCAAGATTCCATAGGTTTCTTCACCACAAATCTAAGTTAAAATACCAAAAAATGATATCCTAAAAATGAATTTCCTTCTTTATGAGCTGTATTGGCTTTTTTAAGCTTTGATTTTACCCTTGGGTGAGCTGGCAGGTCTTCTAAAGGCTAGTCTGCAGCCAGAGTGTCCAGGGGATATTCTGTCTGACTCAGCAACTGTCTTTTTTCCTGCAGCCCTCTGGGCTGAGAACAATAGCTTTGCCACTACCTGACTCTTGGGCCTAGTCTGCTAGGCAAATTTCAAAAAGGAAATTCCCACCAGCACTTCGAGTGTGTCTGAAACTGTAAACAGACTGTATTTGGAATGGTTTACGTCACTGACTTGCAGTCAGCATTAAACTTACTTAGGCTGCCATCAGTTGCAGGAACTTCCTATATACTGAGGCTTTTAGCATGTAATTATGATATTTCCCTCCACATTGTAAATGCGAATCACTGATGTTTTCTTTATGAAGCAGCACAGATTCCAGGCTGTGCTGAGCAAAGGCAAGCATGACATTTCCGTGCCCTGAAGTGAAGGTTCTAAAGTGATCTCAGTGGAGTCAGAGCAAGAGAAAATCTCAAGGTATGCTGCTTTCTGTCTCAGTGAGCTTCACAGCTCAAAACCAGCTCCAACAAGAACACTTCAACAGTGCTCATCAACAACTCACTTCTATAGAGAGTGTTAGGCTTTACATAAAGGTTCCTCTATAGGGTGTTTTTAATTACATCATAATTCAGTAAGGATCATAAGGATTCCGTAGTATAAATTCCTTCTGGAAATATTAACAGCTAGGAATATTTTTTTTTCTGTGAGGAGCACAGATACATTTTAAAAGAAAGTTCTTTCTCAGCTCCCACCTTTTTTTTATTTAATCTAAAGAAAGTTTATTCAATCCTGCAGTTGATACTAAATTTCACTTTTGAGCAAGTCTGCTCTCTACAGCAAGATTATACCTATCCTGTTAACTTAAAAGAAATAAGAACAATAGGGAAATCATAAATAATATATGGTGCCTTACAATCTAAGGAGGAACTAGATGATTCTCAGCTTTGAGGATCAGGGCACATACTTTATTTACTGATGTCAAATGTAGTACCTTAAATATTTGCATGGTCTATCAGGCAAGGGAAGTGAAGGGAAGGGAAGGAGAAGGAAAGGGGAAGGAAAGGGAAGCAAAGGAAAGGAGAAGAGTTTTTGATGGCTAGCAAACTTGGGAGTAGGGGAAAGATAAAGAGTTGTTGATAATGACAGTGCTGCTGTTAATTTACTAACAAGTGACATGGTTACTAACTGCAA